TGGCCTTTCCTAATGAGGTATATATAAGGCAAAAAATTCTTTAACGCAAATTACAAAACAACCTTCCAAACCAGCAAACGGTTTAGCGGTCAAAGTTATAGGCACTTTTCTATTTTCAAAGCATGGCCAACTGTTGAATAATCTGAATTTGCAGTTGATAAGACTCTTTTAGGCTTACATATGATTTCTAACGTATTTTGATTGTGAGATACACAAAATTCGGTGGGATGCTGCCTTAGTGTAGCATCAGGCAATAAAATTTATTGTTATCTCAGAAACCATGATTGTAACTTCGTCAAGTGAGCCGTTTAGCATATATGGAAAGCAGATATAAATTGAGCATTCTGAGGCGGTATTATGGTGTACGTTTTGTTAGGAAAGGACTTCAAGGCAGATGCCTCTCCCTATAAGGCTTATTAGTTATCATATGGTTCGCTTGAAAAAGCTTCGAATTGTTACATTGTACGCACAGTTGTCAGAATAGCAATAATATTTTATTTATCCGCGCTAGTCACGAAGTATACGTCATAAGCTGAAGTGATTAGTTACATTATGAGCCGGTTCTTCTGTCACTGGTCGAATCTGTGATCCTCGTTTTTGTCTTCTGACTTAGTGTATCAATGCCTGGAAAGCTTTGAATTAGCTCTCTGCGCATGAACTGCGCTAGTGGTCAAACTAACTGAATATACGCTTAGGCTTGCGGAGAAGTTTCCGGAACTCTGCATTAAATCCTAGTATGATCAGTCTAAAAGTTATTTTTTATATTAATACAAATGATTAATACAAATGAAAAGGATTTTAAGTTACGTACGAGTCACTGCAGTGTACTATGTTCCAAGCAGCTGTCGTCAAAGTCCACACAATCCATCTGTTGTTAAACTGCCATGCAAGATAGAAGTATGTATAGAGTTCCACAACAAACACTATACCTTGCATGACGGCCTAGAATTCAAAATACTAAGCGCTCAAAATTTCCTTTCATCAGTTACCTGTTTCAAGAAATTAATTTCATTCTTGCGCCTTCGATCGCTATCTGTTCTTCCAGTTTTACGTATCTAGAAGAAAGAAAACCTAGGACATTGGCATCTATTTGCCACTTTCTACCCTACCTCGACGTTGGTTATGTGTACTTTCAATATTGTAAGAACATCGACAACAGCGATTACTATGACTATAGATAAGTCCTTGTAAAAGTCAATATTCCACGATATGAACTTGCATTCCTGGAACGACAAATCAGAGATAGTGATGTATGAACCTGTTGGGTAATATATTTGGTCAGCATGAAAGCAAAGAGTCCGTCGAGAGGAAGAGATACCATAGTTTAGCCTACGCAACACATACCTTTGTCTGTGTGAAGACGAATGCCCAAATATTATTGTCAAACACAAAATCGCAGTCATCTGAAGTTAATATCATTTACTGCACAGACAAAATTTGCAATCACTTACAGTATCCATAGAGCACCAACGCTACCGTAATCGGCACCACCCAAGAGACTACAATCATAATTTTTGTGACCTTTCTACTGCAAGTAGATTTCTGATTTTTTGCTTTGAAGAAAGAAAACTTACCTGAAGTAAACATCGTAATGCAAAGGTAGACAAATAGC